TTATTTTGAAGGAAGTCAAATCAACAAAATTATTTAAATATTTTATACCAAATATAAGCAAGTAATAAAAGAAGAAGAGTAATATATATTTTTCTTAAATAAAGAGAAGCCAAAATCAGAAAATATTATTCTACCATAAATAAGCAAGTAAGAAATCAATAAACTCACAAATAAGGAAAAATAGATCAATTAATATTATTTTCATTATTATAAAGGAGTCAAAATCAGAAAATTTTAAAAATATAAAATTACCAAAATAAATTAGAATAAAGTTAGGAAGACAATATTCTTTTACGTTAATATAAAAGGGAGCCAAAACAATATTCTTTTATCATATATAAACAAGTAGGAAATAAGATTAGGAAGAGCAATAGTTTTCCTTAAATGAGAAGAGTAATTATTGATATATTTTACCAAATATCCACCAATTTGATAAGAAAAAATAAATAAGGTTTCCATAAACAAACAAGTAAAAATTAATCAAGTCAAATATTAAAGGAAGGAGGGACTAATTACTATTATTTTCCTTAAATCAGAGCATGGAATCAAATTTTAAGAAAAAATATTTTTATCAAATACAACCAAGTAAGAAGTTCAATATAAACCAAGAAGATGCATAATCGAGTCAGCACAATGGATCCATTCAAATAATTAACATAATTAATTAGTGGATGACACATCAATCCTATAAAATATAATCGCTACAATTAAACATGTGCACAAAAATAAAATATATTTACTAAAATAAACTCTATAGCCAATTGATCATATGATAGTAAAATATGCAAAGATCAGTAAATAAATCATAAAAATATGCAAACATTTAGACTTAGAAATTCACAGACAGATTTAAACGAACACAGTAAGTGCTAACAAGTTGAAATAGATGCAAAACCAAACGGTTATCAAAACCAAAATTCAAACATACATATTATGAACAGGTGCATATCATTTGAGCATCCTAAATTGTGACGAGCATAGTAAAGCGATAGCAAAAAAATATAATCGAGATACCTTAATCACTAAAGAAAATGACTAAAAATGAATAGACGAAGTAATAATTGATTAAAAATACCAGTGACGGATCTGTGAGATCCGCTCAATGTTTGGACTTCGACAAAGTTGTTGGTTTCTTGTTATTGACGTTGTGTTGGGTGAAGTTGTTGACTAGAGATGCTATCCGGCGTTGTTCTCGCTTCTGGGCGCAGGGCTGCTCGTCGTGGCTGCCGGCTGCTGTTGTCAATGTTGCTTGTTGCGTTGGTCGCCTCTGGATGGCCGGAGGTACTTGCAAAAAGAGGAGAGAAAGGGGAAGAGGACAGGAAAGGAAAGAGACGGGGATAGGGAGGAAGGTGCGGGGTTCGTCGATCCATAGGTCGCTGCTATGAGCAGCTGAAGCATCAAGCTTCGCCCTCTTTATTGCTGGCTGTTGCTGGTTCCAGCTGCTGGTGGTTCCCTGTCGTGATGTCCCTACAGAAGAAGGAAGAGGGAGGGAAAACAGACAGGGAAAACGGGGAAAAAGAGGAATGATGGAGAGGGAGAGGGGAAGAAGGAGGTGATTGGAGAGAAGGAAAGAAGGGGAGAGAAAGAGGGGCGACTGGAGAGGGAGGGGAGGGTCGCCGGTCGCGAAAGGGGAAGAAAGGGAAGGGACGGACAGAGGAGAAGAGAGGGAGAGAGAGGGGTGGATGGAGAGATGGAGGGGATGAAGAGAGAGAGAAAGAAAAAATGTTTTAGGTATAGTTATTTGATATATTAAAAGAAGTATTTGATCTCAACTGTTGATCTGATTTGAAATGAGGGGCTAGGATTAGATCTAGGATTTATTTTTAAGGTGGATGGATGAGATTAAAAGATAAAATCAAATTGGTTGGAGGATTGGAATGGCTAAAATTGCAATTAACTTGGCTAGAATTGAAATAAAAGAGTGGCTATGATTATAATAAAAATTTAATTGGAGTGGCTATGATTGGAAGAAATTATAATAGAATAGGCTAGCTTTTAAATAACTTTAAGGAAAGTGTAGGAATTATTATTTAATTAAAATACTACATTAAAATATTTTTATGTGATTGAAAACCATTTAAATTTTTAAAACATTTGAAATTCATTTATGATTTTTTTTAAATATTTAATAATATTTAAAATAATTTTATTAAGTGAACCTACTAGAATATATAATTTTTAAGCAAAACAGATTAAAATTCTAAGGTTTAAATAGATTTTAAAGTACGTATTTAATCGAAAAGTAATCGTAAAAAGGTCAAAGGTCGGTCAAAATTGGGTGTCAACAGCTACCCCTTGGTTGATTGAGAATGAAGAATGAATTGTCAGGCAACCAACGTTGACTTAGTAGACGATTTTGTCCGACCGACGACAGATATCAGTGGGATCAACTAAAGAGATATAGAATTGAAAAAGGGTACGACCGAGACTTTTGTATTAAGCCGCCTACATATCTCTTGTTATACGAGAATTAGGTCGTGTGTAGTTATAGATTCAAGAGCAAATGAAACTCTTAAAAATTGAAAAAGCGCTAACGTATTTGAAAGGCACGATATTGGCTTGAATGGATAAGATTAGAGAAGCGAGAAAAGAGATATTGAGAGGCTAGAAGAGCATGACAAAGAAGCACGAAGAGAATGATAGAGTGAGGTTATCAGCCATTGAGCACGGTTCGGAGTATGAGTACCAAAGAATTGATAGGGTCTTCGTTGCGATAGATGATAGCATGATAATTGTAATCAAGGGGCAATCGGTCATATCTGCAAATTCTAGATAAAATCTTATTTTATATATAAATAAAGTATGAACAATTATGATAAAATATGAGTTCTAAATAAAATGACAAAAGGTGATAAGAAGCGTATCTGCTTTGAGATCGTAGACTTTGGCTTAACTTGTTGAAGAAATGCAACCCATCTCCAAAGGTTAAAATCAACCTCAAATAGATCTCATAGTATAGCGATATAATAATATAAGGAAAATGTCTGGTTGTAAGGTGGATGTACATAAGCATCCTGTTGCAAGTAAGAAGAGTCTAAACGTCGTTTTGAGGCGGACGAGCCTTAAGTGTCATTTTAAGGTGGACGGCCTAAATGTCTTATAAAGCGGACAAACATAAATGTCCTATGAGGTGGACATGCCTAAATGTCCTTATAAGGTTAACGTCCTAAATGTCCTATCAGATAGACAAACCTAACTGTCATTTTAAGGAGGACGAGCCTAAATATCCTATAAGGAGGATGAGCCTAAATGTCTCTTTGAGAGGCGGATGAGCCTAGATGTCGCATTGTAAGGTGGACGAGCCTAGATGTCGCATTGTAAGGCGGAAGAGCCTAGATGCTGCATTGTATGGCGGACAAGCCTAGATTTTGCATTGTAAGGCGGACGAGCCTATATGTCGCATTATAAGGCGGACGAGCCTAAATGTCGTATTGTAAGGTGGACGAGCCTAAATGTCGCATTGTAAGGCGGACGAGCCTAAATGTCGCTTTGTAAGGCGTACGAGCCTAGATGAAGTACAGTGGCGAGTTGAATCCGAAGATATCTTCATGGTAGCCTGAATGATGGATGAGTAGCGAAACGATAGTGCGAGTAGCCAAGAATTTGTCGGAGCCTTTTTTTGTAAGCAAGTGAACAGTCGTTCAAAAGGTGGTTTTGTCTGTAATCTGCACATCTCTAACTTGTAATATAACTTAAATTGAATTATTAGAACATATATATCAAAATAAATGGTAAATGTAAACATGATGCAATTCCCATGTTGACCATGAATGTTTGCCTTAAGACCATGAAAAATGACGTCTTAGGCTATAATGTCTAGGGCCATGATATGAAAAGTGTATCCTCGGGTCATGGAAATATTGTCTGTAGTCCATGAAAATGACGCCTTTAGACTATGACACCTTTGGCTCATGAAAGGCAGAAGATAAACTGTTAGGCGATGATATGATGTGTGCAGGCCATGAGGATGATACCTTTAGACTATGATGCCTTAGGAATATTAGTAATAAGTAAAGAGAGCGCATTTGTTTTTGGCATATGTTGATACTTGTGACTTGATTTGATTTGTGCACATGCAATCTTTGAGCACGATGCAATAATTCATTTCTTCGGACACATGCAATATCGGGCACATACAATGATGCATTTCTTCGGACACATGCAGTATAGAGCACATGCTATGATGCATTTCTTCGATCACATGCAGTATCGAGCATATGCTATAATGCATTTCTTCGGGCACATGCAATGATGCATTTCTTCGGGCACATGCAACGATTCAATTCTTCGAGCCTAATGTTATTTGGGGCATAATATAGTCATGGAAGCCTAGTTCTCAGGCATAGTGCAACTTCATTGTTGAATGAGGAGGGTATGTAGTAGTTTGGTCATCCGCCTTGTTCAAAGGTTCGAGTGTCATTTCTCGGGCTCAAGAATGGTATGTTGATTGTTGAAATTGCCTTTGTATATGTACTTATATTTCTAAATTCAAAGAAATATAGTTAGTTTAAAAGGGGAGGTTGATCTGAATCCATGATTTGGCACAGTGTGCTCCTTTGGCTCGCCATCCACACCTCTTCGAGCGTCTATTTTTCATAAAAAAGGGAGAGGAAACTTTGAAAGATTTTGAAATTATCATTTAGTAAAAGCTGATGTTGAAAACTTGATCATGGCGTAGGTTTAGACTTTACAACGTCTGACTCAAAAGTAGATCTATCATTTGATCTTCGTTGTAAGCTAACTACGCGTTGAGAAGAAACTTTTGGCGAAATTTTTTAGTTTACTCAAAATTTCTGCCCCAGTATGAAGATGTGCAAGGAGAAATCATGATGGAATTTTTGAGATCCTCTCAAAAATTTGGCCCCAGTTATCAATAGAAGGGGAAAATTACAGTTTTATTTATAATAAGACTGAACCCCATAGGAGCGTCTACGTATCCCCTCTTAAACGGGAATCAGGTCTGACGTAGTTCCAAATTACAAAAGAGCATGAATCAATCTCTAGATGTAATATTTTTTCACAGAATCTGAATTGATAGGTTTTGGACAAACTTCTCCATCCATTTCTGCAAGTATGAGGGCCTTGCCTGTCAGTACTCGAGAGACTATGTACGGACCTTGCCTGTTTGGTGAAAATTTACCCTTTGCTTCGTCTTTATTTGGGAAAATCCGCTTCAAAATTAGTTGCCCTGGTGAGAAATGTCTGGGTTTAACCTTCTTGTTGAAAGCTCTGGCCATTCTATTCTGATAGAGCTCACCATGACAAATAGCGTTAATTCTTCTTCCATCTATTAATGCAAAATTCTCTGCCCGACCTTGTATCAAGTCAGCGTCACTCAGCTTTGCTTCTTGGATGATCCTTAGGGAAGGTATCTCTACTTCGGCGAGTACCACAGCTTCAGTGTCGTATACTAAGAAGTAAGGTGTGGCCTCTGTTGAAGTTCTGATTGTTGTACGATACCCCATCAATGCGAAAGGTAGATTCTGCAAGTGTTTGTGGTTATCAATTATCTTGCGCAATATCCTTTTGTTGTCTTTGTTTGCTGCCTCAACAGCCTCGTTTATCTGTGGCCTGTATGCTGTAGAGGTTCGATGACTGATCTTGAACTTCTCACACATTGATCTCATTAGGTCACTGTTTAGGTTAGTGCCGTTGTCGGTGATGATTGACATGGGAATTCCTAACCTTCAAATAATGTTATTTTTGATGAAGTCATCCACAACTTTCTTTTTGACTAATTTGTGGGGGTGGCCTCAACCCACATGGTGAAATAGTCAATTGCGACAAGAATGAATATGTGCCCGTTGGATGATGTTGGCTCGATTTAACCAATGACATCTATTCCCCATACTGTGAAAGGCCAAGGTGAACTAGTAACATGGAGTTCGTTGGGGTACTCGAATCATATTTGCGTGAGTCTGACATTGACGACATTTCTGGACGTAGCAAATGCAGTCTGTCTCCATAGTTAGCCAATAATATCCTGATCTCAAAATCTTCTTTGCTAATGTAAAACCATTCATGTGAGGGCCACAGGTGCCTGCATGTATTTCTTCGACCAGTCTCCGAGCCTCTCCTTCTTCAACGCATCTTAGCATCCCTAAATTGGGAGTTCTCCTATAGAGGATTTCCCCACTTAAAAAGAATTGGGTTGCTAACCTTCAAATTGTACGCTTTCGTACATTTGTTGCATCTTCTGTGTATTCACCACTCTTCTAATATACTAATGTCATCGTACCAGGGCTTTCCATCAGGCATTCCTCAACATGGAAACAATAAGCTGGTTGTTCATGTATGTAAATGTGAATAGGATTGATAAAATTGTGGTCAGGGTGTCGAATCATGGAAGATAGAGTGGCTAAGTCATCTACGAATTCATTTTGGACCCTTGGTACATGTCTGAATTCTGTTTTGACAAACCTTATACATAGCCTATACATGCACTCTAAACATGGTAACAACTTTCAATTTTTCGTTGCCGAGTCACCTCGAACCTGATGGATCAATAGTTCTGAATCCATTTTTATTAGCATTTCCTTGACATCCAAGTCAATCGCCCGTCGGAGCCCTAGTAAGCAAGCTTCATATTTGGCCATATTATTTGAGCAAAGGAATCTGATTTTGGCTGATACCGGATAATGTTGCCCAGTGGGTGAGATCAAAACAGACCCGATGCCGGATCCGTTTAGATTTTTAGCTCCATCAAAGAACATTCTCCATCCATCATATTCTTTAGAAATGTTCTCTCCCAGAAAGGCTACCTCTTCATCTGGGAAGTAGGTCTTCAACGGCCTGTAATCATCGTCCATGGGATTCTCTGCCATGTGGTCTTCTAATGCATGTGCTTTCACTGCTTTTTGCGTGACATACACTATGTCGAACTCGCTCAACAATATCTGCCATTTTGCCAGTTTACCTGTGGGCATGGGCTTTTGAAAGATATAATTCAAAGGATCCATCTTTGAAATCAGATAAGTAGTATGCGATGAGAGGTAATGTCGTAATTTTTGGGCAACCCATGTTAGAGCACAACACGTGCGCTCCAAAAGAGAGTATCGGGCTTCGCACCATGTGAACTTTTTGCGCATGTAATATATTGCTTGTTCCTTCCTACCTGTTTCATCGTGTTGTCCCAAGATACAACTGAATCCATTATCAGTACTAAATATAAAATAGTAATGGTCTACCTGACTCTGGTGGAACTAACATAGGAGGATTGGATATGTAGTCTTTGATCTTGTCAAATGCCTGTTGACATTCATTTGTCCATTCACTGCAACATCCTTTTTAACATCTTGAAGATAGGCTCACAGTTGAAAGTAGATTGAGCTATGAAAAGACTAATGTAGTTAAGTCTCCCAAAGAAACTCATTACATCTGTCTTTCTCTTTGGCGGGGGAAGGTCACGAATGGCTCTGATCTTTGATGGGTATAATTTTATACCCCGACAACTGACAATGAAACCTAAAAGCTTTTCAGCAGCCACGCCAAAGACACATTTCGCCGGATTCAGTTTCAAATTGTACTTGTGTACCCTGGCAAAGAATTTTCGTAAGTCCTCAAGATGATTTGAACTTTCCTTTGATTTGATGATTACGTCATCCACATAAAATTCAATTTTCCTATGGATCATGTCATGAAATAAAGTATTGATCACCCTCATATACGTAGTTCTTGCGTTCTTTAATCCAAAAGGCATCACCTTGTAGTTATCGACGCCCCACGGCTTGATGAAGGCAGTTTTCTCAGCGTCGTCTTTGTGCATCTCAATTTGATGATAGCTGGCAAGGCAATCCATAAATGATTGATTTTCATGCCTAGCACAATTATCAATCAGTATGTGTATGTTTGGTAATGGAAAGTTATCTTTAGGGATAGCTTTATTGAGATCCCGATAATCCACACTAACTCTGACCTTGCCGTCTTTCTTTGGCACTGGAACGACATTTGCAAGCCAAGATGGGTATTCTGTCATTTGGAGGATCCCAGCATATAATTGCTTTGGTACTTCTTCTTTGGATTTCAGACTCAACTCGGGCTTGTATTTTCTCAGCTTCTGTTGTACCGAAGGACATGCTGGATCAGTGGGCAGTCGATAGGCTACTATTGAAGTAATTAGCCCTGTCATGTCTACATAGGACCATGCAAAAACATCCTTATTCTCTATGAGAAACTCGGTATACTCTTTCTTTTCTTCTTTTGTCATATGGATGCTTACTCGGGTTTCTTGTATCGCCTCTGCATTTCCCAAATTCACCACTTCTGTCTCTACCATGTTTGGATTGGGTTTTTCCTCGAATTTCTCAACCCTTTTGATTAACTCCTCGGGAACCCATTGTCTTCAAATTCTTCTAAGTCATTAATGTTAAGTTGAGCAATCTCATTGTATGCCATAGTCTCAGATTCAAAATTTTTATAGTGGATTTTGCTGGTGAGAAACAAAAATAGCGAACAATTAAATATAAGGTAAAAATAGATAAATGGGGAAAAGAACTTTATTGATAAAAATTTTAAAGTTTCATAAGTTCTCATTTGAAAACAATACAGGGGATGGGAATTAAAACGTTTATTAAAAAATCTTTTTTATTTAAATTAAGACTTGATAGAAAACATCTTCTAAGGCTACCTAGATGCTCGACGAGGTCTGGATGGAGACGAGATCCAGTTGTAGACGCTGATCTTGCCTCCTTGCTTCCACTAGGGCTCTCTTTCTCCTCCTTGTTGATCACGACGTTGCAAACTTTCCCTTCTTGTTTGGTTAGCGACAACCCCTTCAAGTCGTATTAGATCTCATCACTAATGCCTCCCATGAAACTTGCTGATCGAAATGATTTATGCAATGGCGTTATGGGTTTCTTCAATGGATAGCAGTACCCATCTCTAGGCGGTTGCCAATCGAGCCATTCTTCGGTGGTGTACTTATATCCCAATCCAAAAGTGGTGGAATGTTGAACATGTTATATAAGTTTGACTATCCCTTGCAATTCAGCCCACAAACCTTTCCCAAGCTCGAAACAGAACCAGGCCATCATATCTATGATTTTTGGGCTAAACCAAGGCTGCAACTCAATATTACCAACAAGCTCCACACTATGGTACATTTCACCATCCATATGTTTTCTTCCTTCAATCGTGTATACATGATGCCCTTTTTCTCCATGGACTACAACCTCTTCGTAATCCCATTCAAACTTCAAGCATTGGTGAAGAGTGTATGGGACCGTTCCAGCCATATGAATCCATGGACGACCCAACAATAAGTTATATGATGAAGGGATGTCCAAGATTTGCAAAGCTATTGGAAAAGTGACAAGACCAATGAGCATGTCTAAGGTTATTTCCCTAATAGTGCCTCTCTGAGATCCGTAAAATGCCCTCACATTCATCTTCCATGTCTGAATTTTTGCACTATCCACGCCCAGCCTGGTCAGTGTGCTCAGAGGGAAACTGTTTAAACCTGAGCCTGCATGAACTAATGCTTTGTTTATAACCTTATCCTAATACTGAACCGAAATGTACAGAGCTTTATTGTGGGTTGTTCCTTCGAGTGGAAGTTCATCTTTGTGAAAAGATATTTTGTAAGACTCAAAGACTTGCCCCACCATTTGGGATACCTCTCGATGAGTGATGTTAGATAGGACATAAGCTTCACCAAGGATCTTTAGAAGGGCATTCCGATGAGTTTCGGAAGATTGCAGTAACGCCAGAATTTAAGAAAGACTTGTGCCGACATTTGAAGAAAGACTTGGATTCTCACTCTCCAAGTTAGGTACGTCCTCACTACTTCGAGGACAATAACATTTTCTAGCCATCGATGTTGATTTGTCTTGAAGACAATATTTTTCATTTATTTATAGGACTTAATGTTCGAAATCAAGGGATTAGGACTACTCGAGTTGTACCCCTCCTAGACTAGGTTTTTTTTATTAGGAAAAAAAATCCCACAACCCTACTACGATAATCCATGTAAGCATAAAAACTATGAAGCCAGTCCATAATAACAATAACGTCAAAATCATGCATGGGTAATTCAACCAAGTCTGCACATGTGGTCTTTCCACAATGTGTTCATAGACCACAAAAGTCTCCAGTTGTGCTCATACAGAGGGAGTTGAATCTACGTTGGAGGTGTTTGGAGCTGTTAAAGGACTATGACATGAATGTCCATTACCATACGGGTAAAGCTATTATTGTAATGCTTTGAGCAGGATGAGCATGGGAAGTATAGCCCACGTTGAGGATGAGAAGAAGAACTTGTTGAAAGATATACACAAACTGGCTAGACTGGATGTGCTGTTAGTTGACTCTACTAGTGGGGATGTTTCAGTTAGTTAGTAGTTGAAGTCAAGAAGGGTCAGCATCTTGATCGTGTGTTGATGAAATTGAAGGATTTCTTGTTAGTTAAGATGAATGAATCTTTTGCTTTGAGAGGTGATGGCATACTTAGGTTCTAGGACAGGCTCTGTGTACCATATATGAATGATTTGTGGACTAGGATCATTGCAGAGGACCATGGTTTTAGATATTCTATACATCCAGGTTCCATGAAAATGTATCATGATCTTAAGCAGATCTATTGGTGGGATGGTATGAAGAAGTACATTGCAGAATATGTGGC